TAGGTCATGACCTTCAAGGTCAAGGTCAAGGTCAAAGGACGGGGAACGCTCTGCAGCCTAAAGTTACCGTCCGATTGGCTTGTAAATGGTCTCAATCGATTCCTCGACCCCGATTCCAGGTTGACAGCCATTTTCAGGTCACTAGGTCATGACCTTCAAGGTCAAGGTCAAGGTCAAAGGACGGGGAACGCTCTACAGCCTAAAGTTACCGTCCGATTGGCTTGTAAATGGTCTCAATCGATTCCTCGACCCCGATTCCAGGTTGACAGTCATTTTCAGGTCACTAGGTCATGACCTTTAAGGTCAAGGTCAAGGTTCGCGAATATCAAACTAAAAATTCGATATTCGGACGGGGAACGCAATAACTCAAGAACCAGTGAACTGATTTTGATGAAAAGACCCTCATTCGATTCCTCGTTCCTCATTGCAGGTTGACAGCGATTTCCAGGTCACTAGGTCATGACCTTCAAGGTCAAGGTCAAGGTCAAAGGACGGGGAACGCTCTACAGCCTAAAGTTACCGTCCGATTGGCTTGTAAATGGTCTCAATCGATTCCCCTACCCCGATTCAAGGTTGACTGCGATTTCTAGGTCACTAGGTCATGACCTTCAAGGTCAAGGTCAAGGTCAAAGGACGGGGAACGCTCTACAGCCTAAAGTTACCGTCCGATTGGCTTGTAAATGGTCTCAATCGATTCCTCGACCCCGATTCCAAGTTGACAGCGATTTCCAGGTCACTAGGTCATGACCTTCAAGGTCAAGGTCAAGGTCAAAGGACGGGGAACGCTCTACAGCCTAAAGTTACCGTCCGATTGGCTTGTAAATGGTCTCAATCGATTCCTTGACCCCGATCCCAGGTTGACAGCGATTTCCAGGTCACTAGGTCATGACCTTTAAGGTCAAGGTCAAGGTCAAAGGACGGGGAACGCTCTACAGCCTAAAGTTACCGTCCGATTGGCTTGTAAATGGTCTCAATCGATTCCTTGACCCCGATTCCAAGGTGACAGCGATTTTCAGGTCACTAGGTCATGACCTTCAAGGTCAAGGTCAAGGTCAGAAGACGGGGAACGCTCTACAGCCTAAAGTTACCGTCCGATTGGCTTGTAAATGGTCTCAATCGATTCCCCGACCCCGATTCCAGGTTGACAGCGATTTCTAGGTCACTAGGTCATGACCTTCAAGGTCAAGGTCAAGGTCAAAGGACGGGGAACGCTCTACAGCCTAAAGTTACCGTCCGATTGGCTTGTAAATGGTCTCAATCGATTCCTCGAACCCGATTCCAGGTTGACAGCGATTTCCAGGTCACTAGGTCATGACCTTCAAGGTCAAGGTCAAGGTCAAAGGACGGGGAACGCTCTGCAGCCTAAAGTTACCGTCTGATTGGCTTGTAAATGGTCTCAATCGATTCCTCGACCCCGATTCCAGGTTGACAGCCATTTTCAGGTCACTAGGTCATGACCTTCAAGGTCAAGGTCAAGGTCAAAGGACGGGGAACGCTCTACAGCCTAAAGTTACCGTCCGATTGGCTTGTAAATGGTCTCAATCGATTCCTCGACCCCGATTCCAGGTTGACAGCCATTTTCAGGTCACTAGGTCATGACCTTTAAGGTCAAGGTCAAGGTTCGCGAATATCAAACTAAAAATTCGATATTCGGACGGGGAACGCAATAACTCAAGAACCAGTGAACCGATTTTGATGAAAAGACCCTCATTCGATTCCTCGTTCCTCATTGCAGGTTGACAGCGATTTCCAGGTCACTAGGTCATGACCTTCAAGGTCAAGGTCAAGGTCAAAGGACGGGGAACGCTCTACAGCCTAAAGTTACCGTCCGATTGGCTTGTAAATGGTCTCAATCGATTCCCCGACCCCGATTCCAGGTTGACAGCGATTTCTAGGTCACTAGGTCATGACCTTCAAGGTCAAGGTCAAGGTCAAAGGACGGGGAACGCTCTACAGCCTAAAGTTACCGTCCGATTGGCTTGTAAATGGTCTCAATCGATTCCTCGACCCCGATTCCAGGTTGACAGCAATTTCCAGGTCACTAGGTCATGACCTTCAAGGTCAAGGTCAAGGTCAAAGGACGGGGAACGCTCTACAGCCTAAAGTTACCGTCCGATTGGCTTGCAAATGGTCTCAATCGATTCCTCGACCCCGATTCCAGGTTGACAGCCATTTTCAGGTCACTAGGTCATGACCTTCAAGGTCAAGGTCAAAGGACGGGGAACGCTCTACAGCCTAAAGTTACCGTCCGATTGGCTTGTAAATGGTCTCAATCGATTCCTTGACCCCGATTCCATGTTGACAGCGATTTTCAGGTCACTAGGTCATGGCCTTCAAGGTCAAGGTCAAGGTCAAAGGACGGGGAACGCTCTACAGCCTAAAGTTACCGTCCGATTGGCTTGTAAATGGTCTCAATCGATTCCTTGACCCCGATTCCAGGTTGACAGCGATTTCCAGGTCACTAGGTCATGACCTTCAAGGTCAAGGTCAAGGTCAAAGGACGGGGAACGCTCTACAGCCTAAAGTTACCGTCCGATTGGCTTGTAAATGGTCTCAATCGATTCCTCGACCCCGATTCCAGGTTGACAGCCATTTTCAGGTCTTTAACCCGCGCACCGACGGTGGTCTGCGCCAACTTCGCACCGACGGGGGGGGGCGGATGACCGCCCCCCCCCCCCTGAGATCTCGAGAACGAAGCAAGATAGCGACAAGCGGTAAACGGCATCGGATACGCACGGTCAAGATCTACAATTTTTACAAAGGTCATTTTCAGGTCAGGTCAAAGATGACGTCACAGGGGTCGAAAAAGTCAAAATGGCGGCGCTGGATATGGAGAGAGTTTTTCTCGAATAACTTTCGAATTAGTCAAGATAGGAGCAAACTAAGGGCATCATCGTGATCCTCTCGTCAATCCGCATCGAATGATATATATGTTGACCTCGAAAGGTCAAGGTCAAAGGTTGACCTCAGGTCACGTGACTTTGAGGTCATCATGTATATCATTCGATGCGTCTTGACGAGCTGAACACAATGAGACCATCCACGCGTCTGTATCTTGTTCCTGTACGGAGTTATTGGCCAAAATCCTTTGGTGACCTTTGATGACGTCACATGACCTCACAGCTGCCCAACAGCAAAACAGACCTCAAGGTAGTGAAGGTTGATCGTATATGAAGTCATGTATGGTATATGGGGCCATTCCGACCCGTTTTAGTGGTAAAAACAGGGAGTTGATTTTTCCCCCATTGACTTATAATGGGGAGGTCGCGAAATTGACCTGACCTTAGGTCACCGTTATCAAAATTCCGAGACATTCAAATTGTAGCTACTAATGACCTTATAACATCCTGCGACTTTCAAAGGCCTCCGACATCTACTGTAGCTCTGGCACGGTGACAAAGTTGCAAAAAAGTGACTTGAGGTTGGGTCATTCAAAGGGACCTGGTGACCTGACCTTGAAAGGTAGGAGGTTCAAACTTGCACACCATGTGTAAAATTGATGAGGGAATAGTCATACCAAATTTCGCGGCGCTACGCGCCGCGGTTTTCCCGCTATTCGCGAAAAACCTCAGGGGGGCGGATATCCGCCCCCCCCCGTCGGTGCGCGGGTTAAGTCATGACCTTTAAGGTCAAGGTCAAGGTTCGCGAATATCAAACTAAAAATTTGATATTCGGACGGGGAACGCAATAACTCAAGAACCAGTGAACCGATTTTGATGAAAAGACCCTCATTCGATTCCTCGTTCCTCATTACAGGTTGACAGCGATTTCCAGGTCACTAGGTCATGACATTCAAGGTCAAGGTCAAGGTCAAAGGACGGGGAACGCTCTACAGCGTAAAGTTACCGTCCGATTGGCTTGTAAGTGGTCTCAATCGATTCCCCGATCCCGATTCCAGGTTGACAGCGATTTCTAGGTCACTAGGTCATGACCTTCAAGGTCATTTTCATTAACAGCAGATTCGCGAAAACAAGGTCAAAGGAAGGGGAACGCTCTACAGCCTAAAGTTACCGCCCGATTGGCTTGTAAATGGTATCAATCGATTCCCCGACCTTTCCCGGTCAAAGGACGTTCCCCGTCCTTTGACCTTGACCTTAACCTTGAAGGTCATGACCTAGTGACCTGAAAATGGCTGTCAACCTGGAATCGGGGTCGAGGAATCGATTGAGACCATTTACAAGCCAATCGGACGGTAACTTTAGGCTGTAGAGCGTTCCCCGTCCTTTGACCTTGACCTTGACCTTGAAGGTCATGACCTAGTGACCTGGAAATCGCTGTCAACCTGGAATCGGGGTCGAGGAATCGATTGAGACCATTTACAAGCCAATCGGACGGTAACTTTAGGCTGTAGAGCGTTCCCCGTCCTTTGACCTTGACCTTGACCTTGAAGGTCATGACCTAGTGACCTGAAAATGGCTGTCAACCTGGAATCGGGGTCGAGGAATCGATTGAGACCATTTACAAGCCAATCGGACGGTAACTTTAGGCTGCAGAGCGTTCCCCGTCCTTTGACCTTGACCTTGACCTTGAAGGTCATGACCTAGTGACCTGGAAATCGCTGTCAACCTGGAATCGGGGTCGAGGAATCGATTGAGACCATTTACAAGCCAATCGGACGGTAACTTTAGGCTGTAGAGCGTTCCCCGTCCTTTGACCTTGACCTTGACCTTGAAGGTCATGACCTAGTGACCTAGAAATCGCTGTCAACTTGGAATCGGGGTCAAGGAATCGATTGAGACCATTTACAAGCCAATCGGACGGTAACTTTAGGCTGTAGAGCGTTCCCCGTCCTTTGACCTTGACCTTGACCTTGAAGGTCATGACCTAGTGACCTGGAAATCGCTGTCAACCTGCAATGAGGAACGAGGAATCGAATGAGGGTCTTTTCATCAAAATCGGTTCACTGGTTCTTGAGTTATTGCGTTCCCCGTCCGAATATCGAATTTTTAGTTTGATATTCGCGAATATCAAACTGCTGCTCAATTGATGGACGTAAGCGCGAAAGTGTGAAAACCTTACAATAAAGACCAAGTTTTTTAGAATATTTAAAACAAATATTATACTTTACAATATTGTATACTTTACAATATTACAAAGTATTGATTATCTGTAACAATCTTGGTATTGATGCTTGTCAAAAGATTTATAATCTAACTGACATGCAACCATTTTGGTTCAGCTCATGCTGATACGCGGAAAACGAAAAGAGCGAGGCGGGAGTTGTGGCATTCACGATTTTGGTTTATATTTTGGGATCAAGTAGTCGTTAAAGGGACCGTCCCACCTTCAAAAAAGTTAATGAATTGGCATGAAAGTAATGTCGCTCGGTTCAGAAAGAGCGAAAACGAATATCTACCAAATTTCATCGAAAAATATTCACTGGTTTTCAAGATATTAGACAAAAATATTTGATTTACTATTGCCTGTAATCTCTCCTAAGGCATTGCCTTCGGCACTGCACTGCGTCGCCACGAGTTGGCCACAGACGAAAACATGTACAGTACGGGCGAAGAAATGTTGGACGAAAAATGAAAATATGTAGAGACAAAAAAATGCACGGACCAAAAAACGAAAATAAAGAAAATGCACGAACGAAAATAATTACGAACGAAACATTTCTGAAGACTTTTTCAGAAAAGTCGCTATCATTCGTCGACAGATCTGGCGCATCTCGTGAGGCGCTTTACCGAAAAAGAAAATTACCGAATTCTCTTCTATTGAAACAGAACCGAAATTCCAAAATTATTTGTGTATATCTATCACTTTTTCATAAAAAATAGTACCCCCCACCCACCCAAAACCCCGGTTTCCCACAGTCCCCCTAGTGTGTTGGGTTTTATGAAGATACTACATTTCTGCGTAATGGTATTGAACGACAATTGACACGTTGACAACAGACCGTCGTGCGGCTCCACCGAGATCGTGGTAAGAATACGATTAGTTAGCTTTTGGTCTTAAAATTATCGATCAGATAACTGGAAACCACATTATTCTTACTAAACATGAGTTTCTCTATAGAATGATGTCTATATTACAGGGATTAACTAATTTTTGAAGCGGGGACCTCCATGTGTACCGCCCTCTTGTTTACTTTTTGGGATCTCCGCTGTTCCTAGCGACTCTTTTTATAAAGTGCGGCACTTGTTGCGCTCAAAGAGGCATATATCACGGCGTGCTACCAAATGTTCTAGTAAAAGATTTAAAATCGTTAGATATGCGCTGACGTCGCAAATTCTAAGGGGGCATTCCAATGCATTAGCCCCTTAGAGTTAGAACCCGAAAATTGCAAGTTTGAAATTCCATAACTCCGGATTAAAACATTTTTTGATGTTGTGAGTGCCCAAACCAGTATTTTCAGGCCATGGCCACCAAGTTGGCTATCTCAACTCAAAACTAATGTTAAGGTGGGATGGTCACTTTAAGTTGAGGTATCTGCATGGATGTTGTCAAATGGTTGGTTTAATCTCATTGTGAAGGGGTGTAACAACTAACAGGTAACATACTACCCACCACACATTCTGATTTCTGACTCAGTTAATAGATAGATCAGGTAAAGCTGAAGCCCTAGGTTGTGCTCAATAATCTTTAAAACACTTAGTAAATCAATTGGCATCACTGTGAAGAGGTATTTTAAGCTTACATTGTAAAGTATAATATTTGTTTTAAATATTCTAACACATCTTTGCACAGTGCATTGCCTAACTTCAAGGCAGCCTCCTTACTCCTGTGATGAAATAAACCACGTGCAGGAATAAGGATATGTCAACTGCTGTTCCTTTGGCTGCACAGTTGACATGTTCTTTATCCTGCTCCTGGTTTGATACAGCATCTTTTATTTAATCTAGGGGTCTTAATCTAGGTCTAACTAGGGTCTTTGTAAAAAGTAATTATTTTATAATAAAACTGTGCTCTAGGTCTTGTATTACCTACCTACCTAACCTGGATGTATGATAACTGATGATTTCTTGTAATATTCAGAGTCCAGAGAACACCTATGACACAAATTTGATAAGCGTTTGTCCATTTCAGACAACTATTGAATATTGATTCAGTCTGGACCAATCTGAAAAATAACAAAATATTGCTGGGTGAAGACAACAACTGCATCAAGAAACTTTTCAACAATGGCATCCAATAGCTATTTGGCTCCTTCTCCAGAACAGTCTTTAGAAGCTGAGGTGGAAGAAGTTACAGAGCCACACGATGGTGAACCTAGAGAGGCCTCAAGAAATGAGACCACCACTGAGATGCATTCAAAACCAAGAGGTCAACTGGCCACTATGAAACTCAATGACACTAAGGCAGGAATGGAAGGACTTGATACTGACAAGATAAATCAGGTAGGTACCTAATGCCTGTCTATATTTTATGGTGGGTAATAACTGTTATGTCTTGTGTGTACTGTGTGTCAACCTATTTGGTTCTTTTGAACAAGCTTTTGAAGAAGTGCTTTAAATTTTTAACTTTGCAAGAGGAAGCAAAGTCGAAAGAGTTTCTTTTTTTCGAAAAAATCCCCTGGGGCCGGTATTACATTTCTTGATCTGCCTGTGAGTGATAGAGGCTGATCAATGTACAGCCCACCGGTAAAGTAATGTAGGGTTTTACCAATCTCAACGGTTTGCTTTGACTGGCGATTGTTTAATGCGGAGTGATCGAAAAGAAGATGTCAATAGCTAAAGTTGCAGCTGCAAGGGTGACGATACATATAAGCTACATTCAAAGTTTCATTGTAGTCTGGCTAATCGTTCCTAAGCTTCAGAAGCAGAACATACCCATGACTGAAACCCCACATTACTTCTGCTGTGGACTGTACTATTGGTCTCAAGATAAGGGCCCAGGCGACCTGTTGTTCAGATGCGGTGAATACCCACACCCTCGCCACAAATTGAGTGGGGATGGCGCTGGGTGGGAGGAGGGGTGCACTCGGCCCGAGTTGTGGCTAGGGTAAGGCTATTCAATGCATCAAAACTACAGGTCGCCTGGGCCCTTGTCTTGAGACCAATAGTACACATTGTTTGCAATATGAAGACTGGCACATAGGCATTGAAAGCTTGGTCTATAAACATGGCCAATGATGTCTCTTGTCTTATAGCAATGAGTGTGTAGAAGGTACTATGCAACATACTTTGTCGTTAATTCGCTCATTCATGATCCAAATATTTCAGATTATTGAGGAGGCATCGAGAGGTTCCAAGTTCTACAACCACAAGAAGCAACGGCAGGAGAAGATCGACGAGCGGATTCGGCGAATGCTCGAGCTCAAAGATTCGTTCACTCCTGAACAGATCTGCCGATCAGAGGCCCAGGTAAATCGGACTCACTGCTCCCACATTCAGTGGCGAGACTGGGAAGTCGGGACAGTCAGTTGAGATGCAGCCTCTTTACCATGGGCAGTTTTTCGCTGATAATCGCCAACTATACAGTAATTGGCAACGGGCAAAAAAGATCCGTATTACCGACAGTCAGCGTCGAGACGTAAAAATTTGTTTCTAAATTCATGCCCTAAAATCTAAAATCATGCAATTCACGATGTGGTTGCATGGTTGGTCCAGTGCTGTGCCACAGGTTCTGCGAGGTAGGGACTTGGCCCTTTCAACCAAGGAGCCGCCCACCCTACCATTCATATTATAGATCCTGCTTGAATAGCCTGATCACTACCATTAGCTATCCCAATTCGCTTCCCAAAGTGATCTCCCATGACTGACCTATAACGTCATGTGACCGCAGATGGACGCGCTGACGGCCCAGCTGGAGCAGTCACGTGACCTGAGCCGGTTCATTGTGCACGTGGACATGGACGCGTTTTACGCTGCCGTCGAGATGCGAGACCGACCCGAGCTAAGGTAAGCTCAAAGCTGGAGCTCTGTACATGCGATGGCTGAGATAGGTAGGTTCTTTTATACTTCGTAGTTTGTTCCGTGCTGCGTGTCGTTTTGTCGACGACCTCAGCCTCTCTGGCCTTGTAGGAAGAGGTAAATAGCTGGTCCCCGTCGTTTGCACTGACACCACTGTCTTTCTGATGCATGAGTCCCTGACCTCGCCACCTCTTGACACAGTTCCCCTGACACCGCGCTACTCGCACCGCCCTCCCTGATCCCATATGTCACCATTCATGCTCATTACTGTTAAATCCATGTGGAGCCCCCTAACTCTGTCCCTTTGACACCGTCCCCCTTCACCCCCCCCCCCCCTTCACCGACAGGGACGTACCGATGGCTGTCGGCAGTAACAGCATGCTGAGCACATCCAACTACGCCGCGCGCAAGTTCGGCGTGCGGGCCGCCATGCCTGGGTTCATCGGCCGCAAACTGTGCCCCCAGCTGGTGATCGTGCCGTGTGACTTTGACAAGTACCGCGCCGCCAGCCAACTGGTGCAGCAGGTGATGGCCAGGTGAGGGGGCGGTGTCAGGGACTCGCGTTTGAGGAATAGGGCTAGATGTTTTTTTTTTTTTTTAGATGATGAAACTAAATGTGCTAAATGTCGGCGACTGGTGTCTGAAATTAAACCAGATCTGCAGCAAGAGAACTGCTTGACAGTCTCCGAACTAAGATAGGACAAGCCTTTCTGCTTTAGCCTCTGTAAGCCTGTCCAATGAATCTGGTTTAATCTTCACTTACCAGTCAGCAAAGTCAATACCGTTCATTTTGTTTTTCACCTTTACCGCGACCGTACCATGTCTACTCTTCATACTCGTCTGTTCAACGGCGTCCCTACTCCCTCTCTGACGCTCCCCTCTCGCCGATCCGACCAGGTACGACCCGGACTTGTCGATGGTGTCTCTGGACGAAGGCTACCTGGACATCACGGACCGAGTGGCCTCTGAGATGGACGGAGACACTGGAGAGCAGTCGGAGGACGAGGTGGCTCAGCGTCTGGTCAGGGAGATGCGGGCCGAGATCTGCCGGCTGACGCGGCTCACCGCCAGCGCTGGTGAGATGGCTGACTGATGGGAGGTGGAGGGGTGGCATGGGACCGGCACCAGATGGGGGAGACAGGTCGGCGGATGGGTGCAGAGCTGGAGCGAGCCTGAGTTGGCACTGGATGGGGAGCGAAACTCGGGGCTATTACGGATAGACTGGAGATGAGAGAATCGTGGGTAGACACCGGCAAATATTGTTGAAAAATCCTGGCGATGTTCGTGTTTGATTTTTGATGTGCTTGATATAGTTCGAATGGTATTTGCCTGCAATTCTTTCTGCACTTTGACTTCTCCAGCTATATTCGTATAGTCATACCATCGCCATTCATGATAATTGCTACCACTTCGAGTGCAGGTAAAGTATCAAGTGAATTACATACGAGGGGGTATCGAAAAGTTCTGATCATCACATAGAAGATATAGACCGATTTTGATGATTTTTGGTTGGTATTATATTCGGTTCTTAAGAATAATGTTCCCGCAAAGAGAATCCTGAGAAGTGGTTTTATCTTATGTAGGAGAGACTTAGAAGTAAAAAAGATGAGTATTTGGCCCATTGAGGACCGAACCGTCATCCAACTAATACATTTGAAACGGTATCACACTGAGAAAATACATAAAGAACGTGAAATTAGTTTATGGCGAGGAAAGCCCCTCTCATGCACTTACCGAAAATGAAGGAATAATTTTCAACTTGTTTGCATGGCCCTTGCAGGGAAGTCAACAAGTGAGTGACTACCAATGACTGACAAGGTGGTGACTGTGAAGGAAGTGGAGGACCTCATCCTTACAGATCGTCGTGTGACCTTTCGGATGATTGTGCAACAGAAAGGTCTCAATGCTGGCAGAGCCTGAAAATATTATCGGCGAAGAACTACAGACGATAAAGGAGTCAGCCCGCTAAGAAGTTCGCGTGTCTACTTTGTTCAAGAGAAAAATGCGTCTTGGCCTTTCGAAATTAAAACTAGGCTTTTTTTAGGAAATTGAAGACATCTTCGATCATTTAATGACTTGTGACGAATGCTGGGTCTATGTGTATGATCCAGAGACAACAAGATGATCAAGAAGTTTAAGCACGGCACATCTGCCCTTCTTAAAAGGCGAAGATGCAGAAGCCGATATGGAAGGTCAATGCTATCAGTGTTCTGGATCTGGCGTAGTAGTCATTACCGACTGTCTTGATGATGGTCGGATAATGATAAGCAAGCACTACTGCACAATTTTGAAGAAGTTGCGAGATGGCCTCAAGCAGAATCGCCGCAAAAAAAAGCCCAAGAAAGATGTTTAATCCGCACCGAGAGCCCCAGCCCATTCGTCCTGAGCTGCGATTTAAGAGTCAACGTGATATGGACATTAAATCCTACCGCATCTAAGAAATTCACCTGACCGGGTATTAACTGACTCTTGATTGTTACAGGAGATGAAGAATCCACAGTATGGCCGGTGTTTTAAGGACAGAAATGACGTCATTGATAAGGTGGAGCAGTGATTAAAGGGACTATCCCACCTTTAACATGGGGTTTGAGTTGAGATAGCCAAGTTTGCGGCGAGGTCCTACAGAGTAAAAAGAATCAGCTTTATGACAGTAATGTGGCCTGGGGAAGGAGGTAATTTTGGGCTGTGACGTCACATATTTGAAAGTTTGTGTTTGGAATATGGGAAGCCTAAGATGTTTAATGAAAAATAAATGCCAGAACCGTGTTCCTGGTCATCCAATCTATAAAGTCGGGCACAATTTAACTGGTTTTAACAACATTTTAGAAGGTGGGATAGTCCCTTTAACGGGACAGTGCGAAGGTCCTACAATGACCGCCTGAGGCAGCTCAAGGAACGATGCAATAAGTTTGCGGTCGTGTGTGGTGACTTGCAAAGGAGTAATGAACATCATGTAAAAAAATCAAATTTCTATCACATCTAATTCATGGTGATGATCAGAACTTTTCGATACCCCCTCGTATTTCGCTGTCTTGTTGCATGTCCACCGCGCATCCTAATCGAAGCACCCTCTCTTACACGCGGTCTTTCCGGTGACGGCAGGTATCGCCGCCAACGGCATGCTGGCCAAGATCTGCTCGGACCAAAACAAACCGGACGGCCAGTTCTTCCTGCCCCGCGAGCGGCGCGCCGTGCTCGACTTCCTGCGCGAGCTGCCCGTTCGAAAGGTAAGCGGCATTGGCAACGTGTTATCTCAGCAGCTGGCGGCGCTCGAGGTGACGCGCTGCGGCCAGCTCCTCGAGCGGCGCGGCCTGGTGCGACTGCTGTTCTCAGAGTGCACCCAGCTGAGTCTGCTGCGCGCCGGACTGGGCGCCGACCCGCCGGGGGTGGGGCGGGATGAGGACTCCCACCAGAAGTCGGTCAGCACAGAGACGACATTCGCGGCTACCGCAGACCCCGCGCAGCTGTCGGAGCTGCTGGGAGAGCTGTGTCAGCAGCTGTCCGAAGACCTTCGCCGCAAGGGCCTGCGCGGGCGGACTGTCACGCTGAAACTCAAGACCAGCTCGTTTGTGGTGCGATCGCGAGCCACCACGCTGGCCGAACCGACCTCAGCGGCGGCTGCACTGCTCGCCGCCACCCGGCCGGCGCTGGCCCGCGAGCTGGCGGCAGGTGAACCGCTGCGACTGCTGGGAGTGCGTGCGTCGGCCCTGGTAGCGGCTGAGGGAGCCGCCGGCCGACGCCAGGCCACCCTGACTGAGATGACAAGCCGAGCCTCCACCCCTCGACATGAGTGTCCGGTGTGTGGACGAACTGCTGGGTCCCTGGCGGAGCTGTCTGCCCATGTGGAGCAGTGTCTGGATGGGAAGGCGGACGGTGGGGGAGAGCAGAGTGAGGGACGGACTACGGAGACGGGTGACTGTGCTGCTGAGAGCGAGAGTGGTAATGGTGAAGCTAGAGAGGCGGTTAACGGTGGTACTGAGATGTTTAGGCCGACTCAGGAAACCGAGATATCTGTAGGCTCACCACCACCCTCCAGCTGTGATAATGTTTCTGGAGACCCTATCAGGCACGCACCTGCGAATGGAATTAGTGATCCCGCTGCATGTGTGGGACCGTCATCTGCCAGCGACGGGGATCGACTTCAGTCGGGTAATGTAGAGGACACTACTCCGGCTTCTGCTGCAGAGACGGCCTGTGGCGGCCCCTCAGCGGCCTCGTGTCCTGTGTGCGGTCGCCCCATGCCCGAGGAGCTAGAGCTTATCAACCGCCATCTGGATGAGTGTCTGAACCAGAAGTTATTGTCTCGGCTAACAGATGGCGGGCCGGTCGGCGGCCAGAAGCGGCTGCCAGCACCACACTCTGGATTGCCTCGGACCAAACATAAGCGGATCGACTCGTTCTTTACTGCTGTCAAACGATCGTGATAATGAATGCGAATGAATGAAGAGGGTTTGCCTGAAAGAGTCGTTTTAGGCATATATTGAGTGATAGATTGCGAGTTGTGTAGGTATATGTTTGCTTCTGTTTATGCTTGTATTTGTCTAGGCGCTGATTCATGCCTTACTTATAACGGTAATGTATTTTTCCATACGCTTTAAAATTTGTAGTCGGTGGCGTTTTGACGTGTGTCATCAATAGGCTACCCACATTGCCTTTTGCTTCGTGATATCTGGCCTAAATATTATGTTATCGTCGACATTTGACAGAGCCTGACTGTAACTTGCAAGCACCGAACTTGCGCTGGCATTGGGTAGTTTTTGCTGATAGGTTTATTCTGCTGAAACCCTTTCGTATTCAAGTGATATCGTTGAAGAATACGATACTGTGTATTGCTGCTGGACTTGAATGTCTTTGTGACATGTCAATATTGTGTGGAAAATACGATGCAATGAAGGTAAATAAAGGATAGAGGATACATGGAAGCCTGTTTGTGGCAGCTTAGCATTGGCCATTGCTAACTAATTGTGGTATTTTTTATATTATTGGCTATGTTTCAGGCAGGCGTGCAGGGGGCCTAAAACATGTATGATTTGACCTACTTGTATCCTTGTATGATTTATGAACGTATATATTGCATGCATATATGCATATTGTTTACATATTATTTGTGTCTTTGCACTTGAAATTTTGGAGTTGTCGGTCATCCAGAAACCTACCATCCCTGTTTCCCTTATTCAGCTTACAATATCTTGGGAAATGCGGATATGTGTCACCCTTCTTATCACGTATCCCTTCTTTCTATCTTATGTAAGTATTGCCCTTGGTCAGGAGACAAAAATTATAATGTAAAGTCCATATGTGTCGTGTACACGGCGCCGAGCAGGGATCTCCAGACTTCAGCTCAACACCCATGACAGAGGGAATCTCCTAGTTCTTGCTCGCTAGTTCCTGAGTCAGTACTCACCGAGATTCGTGTGTGATGTTGCAATGGGAAACTCTCACCGAGTAGGTTCTTACGAGTGCATGTCGAAATACTTGCGCTTCCTCTTCCACTTGGGCCATTATACGTGGGACAGACTGTCTCCGGTGGCACCTTATTCCACATGGAACGTGATCTTTCTGCACGTTATCTCTGACAGAATATGTGCTGTTCACTCGTCTGACCAGGATCTTGCCCGAGATCAATGTAAATATGTACACTTTCCCTAATTAGCCGTCTGCAGATGACAAGATTCTGGAGTCATGTAGTTGTCATCATGAGCGTAAAATATCTGCCTTTGAATGGATCTGTGCTGGGATTTTCTGTCCGGGTCAAATCTCGCACTTATCGGTGTGCATTTTCAGACTGATTTTATCGTTAAGCTGGTAGGAACTTTGTAATCGCCCTCGATCTCTGCACAAAATACGCCTTTTTCATTTGTTCACTGGATTTCCATGAATCAAAATTGCACCCAGCGCTTGTCTAACACGTGTATTATATGTCATTCCACGGCAGACACGCACAAAACACACAGGTAGGTACGGCACCACGCCACTGTGGCGCGCCTGTACTCTCAATAACACACGCACATACACACAGGTGCTGTGAGCGAGTCATCCCTCCTCCTCGTGAGAGCGACTTTCTCGGCCGGTCCTGGCAGGCACCATCTCATCAACACAACGTCCACCAAGTGTCAGCGCCACCGCCGGGCGCCACCAGCGTAACGCCAACCGCGAAATAAATACGACGATCAAGTGCAGACAAACATAATTATGAACCACGAGGCGTGGACCGGCCAACACCCTCGCGAAACGCAAACAGAACGTATAAAACTAAGTGGCAGGTAAACTGCAGGACACAACCAGTGCGCACAACTAAAAAGATATTTTATCCATGAGTATAACGACTAACAAAGCTCATAGGCAGCGTATATCCACTAGTTGCTATAAATACTAATATATAACTTAATTGTCATGATAGTACCGATTAGATAAATATGATAGCCTGCCCTCAAAAGCATGGGGCTCTGCTGTAAATGCCAACAGCCAACTGCCGACCAAAGCGAACGGGGCTCCCGCCACCGGCCGTCCCTATCGCATATCAGCCTCGTGACTAGCAACGTACCTTCCCCGGTGGTTTCGGATGCGCCCTGCCCACCCCGCCCCTGTCAGGTCAGGTCAGGTCAGGTCGGATGGCTCAAGCCAGGTCGACTAGACCGCCGACATCTACAAAACGACCTTGTGCGGCCACCTATACCTCGCGGCCCGCTGGCAGCCCCACATCCTGTGTCTTTGCGTCTCCCCAAAGCCCTCCGCTTCTTCCTTCTTTGTGTCTTTCCTCCTCAATCAGCCTCTCTTCGCTGGGAGGGCAGGTCCCGGAAGGACCGCCGTCAATGTCGGCCTTAGACATGCCGTAGACCTTAGTCGTCCAGATAGTCTTCGTCGCTGTAGTCGCTCTCGGTTGGTAGCAGCTGAAAAGATTGAAAGGATGGTTAGTTGAATAGCGCAGACGATGGAAATAATGAAGTGGCTCATCGACATTTAGACCTCAGGAAACGCACACGGAAATGCTCGCTGAAAGCTTGCGCTCAATTTGTGAACTCGTTTGAAACACCTGAAACATCGTGCTTCTGGAGTTGGAAACCAAAAGCGTCGAGGCATTCTGTTGAGACAGAATGCTCGTTTTTACATCATTCTTTTTGAATTTCCTAGATGTGCGATGTAAGAATGACTGGCTGCAAGACCCGAATTTTTAAATGGATCGTCGTGGAGATACTGCTGAAATCTGACCCTGGGCTGTTGCGTCACCCGCTTGGATCTGCTAAGCGTATCGTTACCGGTCTGAGGTGCGGAACTCACCCTCTGGAGCAGGGAAGCGGCCCGCCTGTCGGAGACTGCATCCCTCCGGTTCGGCGACAGGTAGTGCTCCAGAGCCTTCAGCTTCCGCGACTCGCTGTTGGGGGAACACAAGGAAAGTTAGCTGTTGAATATTGGTAATTACTCGAAGTGGAACGTCGGAAGTGGAAACGAATGCCGTTTCTCGAGACATGATTTCCTCTCAAGATGCACTGTGATTTTATACAAAACTTGTGCTGTTTGCCGATAATACAATGGTCCGCGAGTAAATAATTCGTAGTTGATATCTGACAGGTAGATTGCTAGGACCAGCCCTCTGATACGGTGTGTGCATCTGTGGTTACGTATAACTGCATGTGCTGATTGCTTGTTTTTGTCTACTGTGTTACTGTGCTTTTTGTCCACTGTATTGCTTGTTTTTGTCTTCTACTGTTATGTGTGACTATGCGTGCGACTGCGTGATTGGTCTTCAAATGTTTTTGTGTTTCTGCGTCCGTTCGTACACACCTGGCGTCAGAAAGGTACGTGGCCACCAGCCGGATAAGCTCGGCGTTCCTGGCGCGGCCCAGGCCGTGCAGGTGGTTACGGCTGCTGCGTCCCGATACACCCCGACACTGGTGGTGGTAGACCATCACCCTGTGGGTCAGGCAGAGAGAGGTCATGAGTTGAGACAGGTCACAGAGATAGGGTTATTATTCTAAAGATCAGTCAGAGTACGCTCGGAATCAAAGAAGCCGCAGGAAGGGCGCTGAAGTTCGTTGCTCTTCATATGCTTTAGGTTTCCACTTTGCTACGCATGGCGCTTCAATAGATTTTAATCCTCTTGGATAGGTAAAATTGCCATTTAACGTAAGACTGACCGCCGGAAGGCTCTACCGTGGATGTACCTCTAGCTCGCCCTCAGACTCTCGAGTGACCTCTGTGCGTACCTGCAGTCGATTTTCCTGGGCGCGGCTGTTGTCCGTGTGGCAGCCATCGCGAGCAGGACGAGCAGCAGAACCAGCCGGCGCAGTGCTTTCGAAACGCTCGAACAGCTCCTGAAACAGAGGTACACGCGGCTCAAGACACGCTCGGCCGGCAGAGGAGGACCGCCCGTGGGCCGTGGACGCTCACCGGTCGCCGTCAAAGTGGACGCGCACAGTCATACTCGAGTTGAACGCACGCCGACGGGAGTACGGCTGGCCGGTGCAGTAAACGCACGCGCTAATGAGGGCTTCAGGAATAGTGGCAGGCCGGGGAGGTCCACAGTAGATACGGTTGATATGAATGAGAGGACGTCCTTCCGTTTATACTTCAGGAAAGTGGGGAACGAGAGAATGATATTATGCCAATTACTAATAGATGGATGCTGACGTAACGAAAATGGACTGTCTGATTTGGCTTCTTTCTTCATCTTATCAGGCAATCTGATTTAAGCTCTTTTTCGCTTTCGCTTATATGCATCATGATTTCTTTAGTTAATTGAAATCATTTGTGCTTAACAAAAAGGCGGTTACAGAGGACGGAAATTTATCAGATTTATTGTGTTTTTTGTGATAGTCGATCTTTTTAATGAAACTCCCAGGGGTAGAATGATAAAAGTACAGCAATGCTCTGCTCTTCATCATTTAATTATTATAAGCGTAGAACATCCTCTCATTATAATATTGTAACCTTACCCATATCTCTCATAAATGGGATGCTGAGAGCTTTGTGATAGCATAATGTTTCAACCTTTGATCACTTTTTAGATGGGTAGGAAATCGAATGTTATAGGTCTTAACCGTATGTTGACATGATTTCGGGCATTGCCATTCTGAATTACCAGATAATTATTTTCAGATACCGCACTTTTCTTTGAGAGCACGAAGACGTATACTCAAGATGAACACTTAAAACTAGATGATAACACTAATGCGTGCTAAATGCTAATTTGGCTTTCTGCAGCATGCATTCGAAAACGGTGTTGTTAGATGACATTTTGAATATGAAGACATTCAAACTTTCCAGTTTTATTATTTAGAAATCACTTATTTACTCTCTTAAATTTTGTCCGAAAGGTCGAAAAATGTAATATTTCTGGTCAAGCGTATAAAAGATGTTAGCACGGTCAGCTTGTTTTGGACTTGGACCGTGTGTTTGATCCCACGCTCACAATAATCTCTCATTGACCTACCGCCTGTTCTGTCCAACAGAGAGCGTCATCGTAAGCTCCGTCCTGCCAGTGTCACCTGATCTGACCTGACCCGACCCCTGACCGCGCTCTGTGTGTGCCGCACTGGCTGACCCGGGCCTGCGAAGGACCAATTTATTGGGGCTGAACCCCTCCCTAGTTACCGGGACACATGTCGGGTGAGGGGGACAGGTCATTACGTGCCCCCCCCCCCTCCCTCCTTCGGCGCGGTCCGTCTGCCACCAGGGACTGCATGCATTGTCTCGGGCTCCGGCCTAGTCGGCGCTTTTGACACCCGACAATGTCCGAAGTTATTGCTGGTGTGATTACAATGTAACCATTGCTGGGCGATAATTTGGGACACATTTACCGATTTCCAGAAATGTACCAAAGCGCGTCATGGGTCTGTTTTAGAGACGGGTGTTGTGCGCCCGGTTACCACCAATCACTGGGGTTACGCACATAGCTGCAGGCCGGCGTCGGTACCATATCCTGCTGTGCAGCCCGTTCTTGGTGCAATTAATCTCTCAATCGGAATGCGGCGTGATCAGCATGACGACCAAATCGAATAAGAATAAATGAGTCAAGTCTAAAATTGCGCCAGGCCAGACGCCCTCCTTTCTTTGGTATCACCAGTGCCCGGAAGTTTACTCACATTGTTGCGATATTACAGGTGCGTCCCACTGGAACAATCCAACAGAGTTATGTCTCTCTCGTTCCGCTCTGACCACTGGTCTCTCACTGTCTGTCGACGACTGACTGTTGTGGACACTGTCCGAGCCGTGTTCTTATACGGCTGACCGGTGGGGCCGTCCTGGCGCCGCCCCCTGCCCGAAGGAGGAGGAGCCGTCGCGTCTCCTCCCGTTCGCCAGGGCTCGGGCCGGGGCACGTCCACTCCCAGGTGCCGGCGTTAGTCATCGGGCACTGGGCGGCGCTAGAGCCGGTAGATGAGTCGGAATATTATTTTTTCTAGAGGAAGGGGCGCGTCAGTCATTAGTGAGAACCTTGGCCGAGATGTGACCCGGCTGAGAAGTGCACTCGCACCTTCCACCGGCACCGACAGCTTGTATGTAGTTGTATCGCGCTCCATGGTAAACTGAACATTGAGCCCGACGGGTTCGAGCGGTCCTCGAATGATGAATCCTCAGTTTTGGACACCAGCAGCTCTTCCCCGATAACTTTCAACCAAATGTCCACTGCGGACAGTCTTTCAGCTGTTGATGCATCATCACTTTTTGCAGTCTCGGCATCATTGTTCATGTCCAACCCTTCTCTACAACACTCGGTGATGTCCTGAGAACAGTATTTCTATTTACGTCAATTTCTTATGCGAGTTCCTTTTTTACAATTTCTGTATTGCAGCTACACATTCCTCACTCAAAAAAGTAGAATAATTTTAGTTGCGTCTTACTATTCGGTTCTCCGTTTTTGCAATTATATATTACTTGCTTAGACGCGGAAAGTTGAAGTCGTCAGCCATCTTCGTCTCAGCCTAACACGAGTAACGCGATTTTCCCAAAGGCCTTCGATCATACGTCATCGCATCTGAGCTAAAGGTCAACCTTCTCTCGATTAACGCCATCGGCAAGTAGATAAATGATATTCCGACCCGCATCTGTGATCGTGTTAGGGAACGGCGACAGATGTGAGACAAGTAGTCACAAAAGACTTTCCTTGTGTAAGACTTGCTGCCAAAGTAGTTGCTCGTTTCAGGTGCAGTCAGCTGTGGTCACCGCAGAAAACTTCAATTGTGGGTTCTCTGGTGACCGGACTCTTCCCTCTGTAATGCAATAATGCAGTTGGCGGTTTCCTCGGTTTTCGCTTAGAATACGGGACTTCTGAGACTGAGTGCTTGTTCAGCGTGTCAAACTTGGTCTGTATTTACATTTTGAAGCAAATCAGTATGCCCCGAATGCAGTTGTATTGCAAAAAGATAACGTATGAGTTATGACTCTTTCCTATTTCAGGCCTGTACACATTCAGCTGGTGTGCTTTTGTCAGCCGAAATAGGCTCCACCCACCGTTTCTGGCTGATGGAGTTGTACACATTCGGCTGATGAGAAATGTCAGCAGTGGCTGACTGTCTACAAATGTGGCTTTGTAAACAAATATATCGTCTCATATTCATGTCCTTTATTAATACAATATTTTAATAGTTAGGTATATTATCAAAATATTTGCATATAATATGCAATGGTAATATTTAGTCTTCTTACATTGATAAATAATTATGAAAATAAAATAACGTGAAAAGCGTCTATACAGTGTCGAATTTTCATTTATCTGCAGTACTTAGTAAAAATGTGGCACGTGATTTGTTTACATGCGCCACTACCAGTGTCTAAATGCGTCATTTATGGCTTCTGCTGACGGCTTGGCATCTCTGCACTTGCTTTCTCCTGGCAGCACAGCTCGTCAGCCTATGCTGCCGTCAGCAGAGAGATGACGTCATGTTGCAAGTGCAACATGACGTTATTAATTTTTCAGCCAATAAGGTGAACGTTTCTCGGCTGACAACAGCACAACAGCTGAATGTGTACAGGCCTTTCAATTGTACGTTTCAGTGAGCCACTTTTTTAAGAACGGGCCATTTTCGTTCGTGCCTGTTTCGTTATTTTATAATGCTTAACAACGTTCTGGGGGTCTCCTCTCCTCGATTCGTTGAAGGCCGCTAAATGGTCTGGGGGCAGCTAATACAGTCTGCTGTCTGCCCTGGGTCGGTGTCAGCTATTTGCAGGTGTGGGTGGTAATCCCCCAAACAGGAGAGGTCATCGGACAAATCGCATCGGTCCGTAGACTAATGGCATTGGCACGGCGGGGAGGTAAGGTTGGTGTTAATGTCAGATACTAAAGGCACAGTATAGTGCGAACATACGGCAACACTGGCTATTGCGTAGTGTGTAGCGTTTTTCCAAGTTTAAATTTCGTAGCCTGCACTTTGGAATTTGTCACGCTCTTACCCAGCGGCCAGCGCATTGTGTGGCTTCATTTTTATAGTTTCCATTTCGGTTGAATCTATGCCGAGTGTGAATGTGAAAGAATGCTACGAAACACGTTTACCAATCGATCTGATAAGTTTTAACCGCGATGCTCTGCCTGAGTGTCTCTTTCCAAGAAGCAGCAGCCGCCGTTCTACGAGTAAGCGCGGAAGTCGGAAAATCTGAACGCCGCCGGACAATCGTATGCTGCCTGTAATTTTGTGGTTTATCCAGTAGCGCTGCCGGGCGACAAAAATACTGTCTGGTTCCGTGTCTTTTACCGATATGTCTGGGCTAGGCTGGGCGCGCGGGCCGTAACAGCTGTTTCCAATAATACTCAAATTACCTTTCCTTATGTTTCTACTGAATGTGAGTGAACAGGAGCACTAATGGTGTTTTGTTATCTTGTTTAGTATCTGGTTCTACAAATTAGAACAATTGTGTGAATGGCCTTATTGAAGACAAAAGGATTTGTCATGAACTTAATGGTTGGTGTGACATGTTTGTAAGAGGTGGAAACAGTTACCTATCATCCTGTTGTATTGGGCTTGTCTTAGGAAGGGCCGTAACTACGAATATTCAAGTTTACTTTTGTTGAGAATGAAAATGGTTCGAATCAAATAGTAAATACATCGCTATCTTTTGTTATTTCATTCCCAATACGTCAGTCTTCTTCGTATTCATCCTACTTTTTATCATGTTTGCGTAAGTTACCGTATCGAATACGTCCAAATCGACAATATCGAGCATTCATTCAGGCATTTGCATTAACAGCTCATCGTTTATCGGTTTTACATACCTCCTTTTTTATTTCCATCAACCATACGAGTAAATGTTGATCTTGCAGTCACCGCCAGAGGCTGGTGCTTTGGAACGCTGGTGCGCTGGTGTTGAATTGGAACGCTGGTGCTGTGTGCTCCTAAGCTGCGCCACTGCACTGGGCCGTTTTCTTCTGCAGTGGTGTAGACAAACGCAGGATGCATACCTTCTCCGCGTGGTATCATGTTGCATTGTGCGATTGGCGTTTTGGAAAGTCACTGGGTTTTCACGATGATCGAACATGGTTTTTGCATTAACGATAGGATTATTGGTGACAATGCAGTGGCCATTACAGTCACACAATGCCTCGCGATTGACTGTTGAAACGGAAGGGTCCTTTGGAAATTACAAAATAGAGCAACCACGCAGCTAGATCCCGCGAACGTTCGTGCGTATAAGGTCCTGTAAAAGTGACTCATTGTTATATGCTGTTGTCAGAAAATAAAAGTTGCTCTGGGTTGTTGTTGGTGCAGTTGTCTCAGTTAGGACTAGATGCGGATATTGGATAAATTAGGTACCTATGCCTGCCTATCTTATTGCTTTCTGGAACATTACTAATTAATGAACAACAAAACTGCATCGGTAGCAGATACCCAGACACGAGTTTTATCGAAAACGTCATAAATTAGCGTAATGGACAATTGTTAGGCAGTGATATTGTGCTAAGAAAACCTATAAACTGCACCTGTACAAGCAAACTAGCAACACCTTCATTTCCTCCGGAAGTTGAGGCACACCTTGGCTATTTAGTTCGATAAAGCTAAGTTCCGGCATATGCAAAATTGTCGGGAAACTCAGATTCGTTTTTGTCAATAGGAAAACACAACTCTAACGAAAAGTGTTACAACTATTGAATTCACTAACATATCTATAGTATGGTGTAGTGTACTGTTTAGTGCAGACAGCGAGCTTGGCCGGTCGGCTCGGGCCCGCCGCGCCGGCCGCGGCGCGGCTCTGCCCGCCGCGGCTCGGTAGCGGTAGTCGGTGTCCTGCGGCACAGCCTACCCTGCAGGAGCCGGCTGGGCCGCCGAGCGACAGACGGTAGTCGGGAGCTGGCCAGTGCCTCACCCGAACGGTTGTAACTGTGTGTACTGTGTAGCGATAGGGCTGGAGCTGGAGACTCGGGCTCACACGCAGTATATTTACCACCTGTGACGCATATTCACAACAAACGTACCGTATCATGGCATGTTTGTTTAGCGATTAGGATTCATTCAGACCATAACACTTCTTTTTATACACTAGCACTTGCTTGCATAATACTTAACACAAGCATAACACACTAGCTTTTGTCGTTTCTATTTTATGTCGGTTATCTCATACCTACCTTTACCTATGTATTGCATTTTTTCATTAACTTAGTGGTACAATGTCATTATCGTAATGATTTTAGGTTGCCAACATCTGGAGGAGAAAATGTCCCGACATCCCTAAAGAATGTCCGCATCATCCCAATGCTGCGGATATCCAGAGGAAGCAACGTATACGTACCAAGCCAACGTTGGTACCTATGCGAAATAACGTATAGCCACAGCCAGGTGAGTTAAAATAAGGTTGGTTTAACCCTCGCCGGCCGAGGGGGGGGGCGGGTGCCGCCCCCCCCCATAGGGTTTTTTCGCGATAGCTCCGAACACGCTGGCGATAGAGAGCTGAAACTTGGCATACCTGACCTTTGATCCAAGCCGCATCTTTTGACACCAACCGCATTTTTGGGTCAGGTCAGGTCACTGACCTATGACGTCATAAGTGAACCTCTGCACGGTCTTCAGATGTCGCAACTTCGTTACGCCCTCACTGCCAGAGGAGATGTCACAGGGAAATGAAACTTGCAGGATCTAGTATCCATTATGAGTCTCACAACTTGTATATCTCGGATTTTTCCTAAAGGTCATATTAGGTCAGGTCATTTTCGTGACCTCACCATTATAAGTCAATGGGGAAAAATGAAAACTGTTATTCTGGCGCCGGGAATGATCTCCAACTATCTCAAGCACACAGAATCGTGATTTGATGCACTCCTTGCAAGGTTAGATGCGTCACTTTTGCAATGTTGACCTTGTGTGACGTCATTTATGACGTCATCAAGGTCATATTAGTTTTTCGTCAATAACTCCTGATCAAATTGAGCTAGCGAGTCGGGAAAGCCACCAATGGACTCAGGAAGACCTGCCGAATCGAATGATATGCGACATGACCTCTTTCGACCAACTTCGTGACCTTGGGGTGCTGACCTGACCTTGACCTGAGGTCAACACCCCAAGTTGACCTGACCCGAACAAAAAGTATATCATTCGACGCGCCTGAGCGAGGCGAACACGATGCTGCCAAAATCGCGGCTCTGCGGCCGTTTTTTGCGAAGTTATTCACCAAAAACTGAACCGTACCTTGGGGCACTTGACCTGACCTCAGAGGTCACCGGTTGACCTAGGACCTTAAAATCGGGTACCAATCTCTGCGTCTCGTAACGGCGCACCCGCTCGTTTTTTTCCGCGACGCGCTAGCTCCACCAGGGGCGAAACGGCGAGGGGGGGGTCGTACCCGCCCCCCCCCCCCTCGGCCGGCGCGTATGTAGAAAACCAATAGGTCCGGCGAGGGTTAATTATGTACTGAAAAGCAGTAACACTGAACATTTGACAAACGTGTTGTGGTTTCTAGTCCTTTCCTGCGTTTATTATCGATACACATCAATGGCCTTTAATTTGGTCTCATTGCCACCCCTTCCCATTCATTCCCCCTTCATTCATTCCGGGATGACCTCCGTCCCGTAACTTGGTCAAACCTTCGGCCGCTGGCGCCACAGGACCAGTCGGCCGTCAGCTCCGAACGTCCTTGGTCGGCGTTCCGGTATTGTCCCGCATTATTGTGACGTATACACCGGTCCCGTTATTGCATTGGTCATATACCGGGACTGACGTCATGTGTTGTCCTTATGAAGAGAGAGTTACCGAACTACCGCTGCGAAACTTTTTTTAGAGCTGGGAATTCCTGATATAGCACCCGGTACTGCAATGTGACGTAGTTACTTACATGGAAAGGGTCATGATAACTATATTTAGGTACACCTATGGCATTGTTTTATGTAGTTGAATATCTACGTCTTACACGTCCATTCTCTCGGCTCGTGCATCTGCAATCTGTATCCTCGTGTATGTTGCATTGCGTGTTATATTGCTTGTATGTATGTGTGTAATGTATGTGCCCTTCTAATTTGTGCACTCTTAACATCGACCTTGGTGCCATTCATCGGGCTCCTAATGACATCGAGATAGAAATCCCCGCCGAGCCACGCGCCGCGCCGGTTGTCCCGGCATTTACCCGTCTGGGGCCCAGACAGCTATCTCATGGCACGCACTCTGGAGGGGAGGCTCGGATGTTGGGGAGGGGGTCGGGAAATACGCGGACCAGGGTGGCCCAGCATCGGAGAGAGATCCCCGCAGGTGGCTCGGCTGAAATTACTGGCTACCCGTACAGGATGTGATGTAACGGTTTAGAGCTCGTGCAACATGGTACACCAGCTCAGCTAGGTGCTATCTTTGGATTTATCCGATGAAATATTGAAATGAGAGCTAGTCGTTGGCTCCGGTCCGATTCATCCCGCTGCATCATATTAATGATTAGTAGCTATCGTCTAACGCACTCACTTTAGATTTTTGTGGTTTTATTTTCATTGCCCATTTTCATCCTGATACATT